AAATATACATACATACACAAATATACATACATACACAAATATACATACATACACAAATATACATACATACACAAATATACATACATACACAAATATACATACATACACAAATATACATATATGTGTGTGTAGGCTACGCCGGTCGTTGATATGGCTGCTCAAGATTATTGCCCTTCATCCCCTTGGCCATCGTAAATCAGTTGCATTTCCTTTGCAACAGTAGACAAAAGCAAGGCAAACAGATCTGGGCCCATTGCGCAACAACCCCAATTGTAAGCCGAGGGTCAAAGGAAGGCTGTTGACGGCGTAGCACTAAAGAAACCCACAGTACACCAACGGCCATGCAGCCACCCTGCAAGGCGTTTATGTAGAATTCCCTATCTAGGCCAAATTCTATCTGGCCCATATCGAGAAGATCACACCGTTAGCCTTGATGCTCAGGCTCTCATCGTTCGTCCTGCTTCTAATACGAACTCATCAGACCCAGCCAACTTCTTTTGACCTCAGTTTGCCAAGAAGATTCTGGTCTCATTCCTTTCACTTAGCTGCCCGCGAGTCTTCTCGAGCTCCTAGCTTGGCCGCCCAACTAAAAGGGATGCGCGCTCTTCTGTCTCTGGTTTGGCGTCATGTTTATCGCCTCGAGCCTGGCGGGGCTGGCCAGCTTTGAGAAGACCAGGTCTCTCGTCGAGTTTTACCACTAGGGGAACGCTGAACCGAGCCAAGTACGCAACCGGGTTTAACAAGAAGGATGTTGTTCTCGGCCACCACTGTCGAGGTCACCCTCCACTCCAATCACGTCCACAGAGTGCTAAGAAGGAAACACGACGGCGCATTACAACTCCCCAGACAGCTCTTGCCCTTCACCGTCGACCTCTTGAGTTCCCTGCGCATCATTTACATTCTCCTCAAGGAGCGGCTCGGCGAGCATTAAAAGCCGGGGTTTGCCGCGAACCAGGAGACGGACATGGAAGTCGTCGATGCGACCGTTGTTATCCAGAAACATGACTCTTGGTATGATCACCCCAAGAACGACAATCCCGGGCTGCCCCGTACGGATAGCCACCAGATCATCGCCAGATCTGCATTTGTGCGGTATATGGTTGGGTGATTGCCCCGGCTTGGATTGGTGGTGCATTCCGGCACGGCAGCGAGGCCCCGGCTCTCGGTTGGGGACTTCTTATCCACGGTGTTACTGGCGCCCGAGACGCAGCTGAAAAACATCCGGCATCTTGTTACCAACACAGTGCGTTCGTCGACAAACCTGTGAGTTGCCCTGCAATCCTAATAGTGGCATTAGATGTACAAACGCTGATCCAGATGCAGTTTTCGCCAGTGCAACACACTCCTTGTCAGACGTGATGCTGCTGCCATCGTGACAGGCAACGCTATCACTGCACAGGCTTTTGTGTAGACACGATGGGAATGTATGGCATTGCTTGCAGCTCAGCTAGTACTAACAAGGCTTGTTCTTGACACTCACGGTGGCTAAGACCACCAGGACGCGAATGCAGGTTATCAAGTGCTCGAGCCCAGAGACGCTGTGTGCACTCGACGATCCCACACGCCAACAGATTGGGGATGTGAGCAAACTTCAGACCGTACGCCAAGAAGCAGGGACACCCCTGGTCCGGCTGGACAGCGACGAGTCCCGGGGTGCGTTGCAGTTGCGGATGAAAACGGCGGGCCGAGACCACGACGCCGATCGAAATCCATGAGTAGGTCGGTGAATCAGCCAGCTGATGTATTCTGCATGAAAACCCTTGGAATGGCAAGGATATTCTACTGTGGTGACCAAAAACTTATAAGGATGGTTAGTGCATCACTAAGCAATCATCAATGGGCAATTGGTCTAGTGGTATGATTTTCGCTTTGCATCCTCAAAATGCAGTTGTGAAAGGTCACCGGTTCGATCCCGGTATTGTCCAACTTGTTGACGATTTTTTTCTGCCTTTTTAAAACGACTTTTCTCGAATGCTCTCTCCACAACCGATGAGATTTCACGCCTGGTGCAACCGTAAAGACTAATCAATTTGTTTTTCGCACGAACTAAGCCCTTGAGTGTCCGGACAAACAAAAGAAGCCAAAACCTCAGTTTACGAGATCCACCATCCTGGACGTCTGCACACTACACTCCCGTTATCCAAGCTCCCATTCACATCTAGGCAGGCGGAGTGACAATGAGCGAAACTACATCAGTGTTGTTTCTCTTCTGAGCGTTCAGATCGCCCGGCTTTAGGTAGCAAAGACGGGTCGACTTTTGCCAGCTCCCAGCAGCGCAGGGCTTGCTGGGGTTGGTGGTGGTCCACGAGTCGCAGGCCCTTAAATGGGTATGTCAGGGCTTGGTGGGTTCTTTTGACCGGATGGCAAACTCACCGGGCGCAAGAGACAGGGTCCGCGATGGACGAGGACGCAAGATTGGTTTGCGTCCAGTACTCAATGTCCCACTGGACTTGATACCAGGCGCGGCTGGGACCCTGGAAGTAGAGTCCATTTGCCGAAGGGCAGAGCTGAGCTGCGGCGGGGCCGGCGATCACCAAGGCGGCAAGTGTAAGGGTTGAGGCGTGCATGTTGGTTGATGAGTTTGTTTTAATTTGAGAATCTTGCTGAATTGGGGGGTTGGTTGATGTTGATGTTGATGAGAGTGACAGTCTGGTCAAAGATCTTGAAGGGTTTATATGTTCTTCCTCCTTTTGCAGAGCTCGTCTTGTATTCCCATCACCAACCGCTTGAGATATTGCAGTCACCGGCAATACCACCTACGCTTCTCGTTATCTTGCTGTTTATGTCGCGTGGGAGGTTGCTCCAGCCAGCCATGTTGATGCTCAGCGTCGTAGCAAAATGAACACATATCCAACGTATTATTTCAGCTCTTGTCTTGCCTCTTTCACTTTCCCGTTGGGGTCGTGAGGTGAGCTTGTGAGTGCCAGGCGGGTCGAACTGGTAGCCGCTTCGGGACAACCGAACACAAGTGTCAGCCACACTGAATCCATGCAACCCTTTTACCGGACTCTGGGTCGCGGAGATGTTGCAACGTCAAACAGGCTGAATGTAACAGTAGCCACAGAGCTCTTAACGTCGCAATCAAAAGGAAAGACGGCTTTTCTGAGGTACTCTACTGAACAGGTCAACAGTCTAACATCGCGTCTCATTGGTTCGCTTCTTAGTTTTGATCTTCTGTCCCCCTGAGCTAGACAGGCGCGAGCAACACACTCAAGCACTGGCGCAAGTTCGTCAACGAGATGAAGCACTCTCCCGTCCCCGAGGTCAAGGTGACAGCATCCCGCCAGGATTTTCCCATTGAAACAGAGATAGTTGCGGTCGCTTTCTGCTTTGCGTCAAGACCTGTCTGCGGGCACCTGGTTATCTGGACACTACAATTCCCGTGAGGGACGGCAGATCACCCGGTACCTACAGACACGACATCCAACGCCCTGGTGTCGCCGCTCCCCCCGGCGCTTGTGTCCTACTAGTCGGATCAACGGTGCATGTCGAAACAACGCTCAACCGGACGCCTAAGCTGCTTGGGCTGTGTTCCTTGCTGGCGCTTCGCCGTTCAACAGATCTGAACTTCTCCCCAACCACATGCACCAAACCAGCATACGGGCCGAGATTGAGGCCCTGGTGAAGGCCATCGACACGGTTGAATCAATACTGAGTGGTGCCGAAGAGACATATCCTACCACGCACCCAGCCAAACCACAACGTGCTTCGCATGGGTGTAGATCTTGTGCATGAGGAGCACCTGTTGCTGCCGCTCCCTTGAGTTGTGTTGGTCGATGCAGAGCGCGTCAACCCAGACCGGGAGCGAGTCAAGCAGACCTGAGCGCTTTGGCGTTTTACACGATGAATCTCTTCTGGCTCCTGTTTTCAACCGAAGTACTGTTTGGAGGAAGCGGAACAGGTTCTCGGAGACTGTCATGATGCCGCCATCGCAACTGACATCAAAGCTTCGTCCCAGCCCCGCCCTGGCGTCGTCCTTTGGAGATGCATACTCTGGAACTTTCCATGTATATGACAGCGCGCAGAATGCGGGGGCCTCTTGAAGGTCGGCTTCGTGAAGAGAGAGTGAAAAGCCGTGGAGTGCGGAGCCGTCGGGCTGAATGTGGACAAGTCGAATTGATTGACCCTGAGACAAGCCGCGATATTGGTACGGGGTCATCTCTCCGCACGCTGACGGCAGCAAGTATCCGGGAGAGTTGGGAGGGTTTAGATAAGGTACCTACTCAATGATTCGCTGCCTTATGTGCTTAAGGGGTGGTGAGCGGAGAGTTTTCTTCGCGACGCGTTGCGGGGTAAAGTGCAGCGCTGCAGATGCAGGTGCAGGTACAGGTGCGATTGCTTGGCAGCTGAGGGAAGCTGAGACAAGGGATGACCCGACCTGACCCTGCCAGTTCGCCCTTCATAGTTGTCGCCCATCATTTCTACCACCAATTCCTCTTACCGTCACTTTATTAGATCTATTCGGTGCACGCATTTCCCTTTACTTATTTACGTTGTTTGGTTCTAGTGTTCTTATACTTCTCTTTCATCGGCAACCCACGCCGTTTTTTCCTCCCGCAGGCTGCGCCGCACCCAAATAATCGTGATCCACACCCAAATCATCAACCACACCAATGGACTCCCCCATCCTGTTTGATATCATGGTTAACGGCGGAAACCTCACAGCGGCTGAGGACAAAGACTTACCAACACCATACGCAACAGTCTCGGGGACTGTCCACACAACGACGAGCGTGCCAATCCCGTCAAACAAGGCCCCTGCCGCCCAAAACCAGCTCAAATGTGTCAGCAGCTCCCTAAAGCGCTTGCTGACAGCATACCGCGCCTGCAAGGCCCTTCTGTATTCCCGGCCGGCGTTTCCATCAACCGCAATAACATCCTCCATAAATGTGTAGATCAGCGGCGGCACCCGTCCTCCCTTGGGCACCGAACTAATCCGGATGGGCGCCGGAATCTTGCGCGCATGCAACCAGCCGTGGATGACAAGCTGCAAGCCGCCTTGGATGAGCATGATGGATACGGGAATCGCGAGCGGTCGGATTGGGGGCGTGTGGGGAATGGATGCGCCGATCAAGATGGCTGACATGTAAAAATAGCCAAGACCGAGCGTGTGGTGGGTGTAGTCGAATGACCAGCGAGACGTCGTGCCCAGCGGTCGGTATGTGTCCTTTTTGTTGGTGAGTTTGAGGATGCGGAAGCCATACTCGATACCCGTCACGATGCCGAAGAAGGATGTGATGACGGCAAAAATCAGGCCAATGCGCAGTGATGAGTAACGCAGCCCGTAAAACAGAGCGATGGGCAGGATCGACGATTCGAGAACGAGAAGTCCGGCAAAGATAAACAGCTTCGTCTTGTAGTCCCAGAGATTGTAGTTGAGTCGGGGCAGCCCTGGGAGCTCCTCTGGCAGCCCTTCTGTTATCGGCACATCGGCGCCGGCAGTCGTTGCCGAGGATGGGACGCCGACGGAATTGGTCTCGTCTTTTGTGCTGTCGGTCGGCTGGGTGTGGCCGGGATCGGGCGTTGCGGTCCCGTTTTGTCTCGGTTTTTCGGATTCCATGGCCGGTGTGCAAAAGGTGGTCCAGAACTAAAATCGGAGAAATTAAGAGGGATAAACATCTTTTGTATCTGCGCAAGTTCCGGCATGACGCACTCAAAGAAGGGAGTCCCAAAACATGCGTTCATCACTCAGCGTCGACATTAGTGCTGCGCTGGCTATGATGTCACAAATGCCTTGGCCCGGAAGCTTGGACGCAAATGCCCCACGCTTCCGCCCGGCCCAACGCAGATCCCTCCAACACCGCAGGTCTGGGCTCAGTCAGCTAAGCAGCCCATTCGCGTCCACATGGCGGTTTGCGTCGTCGACGTGCATGAAACTCTTCGGTATTACCCATGAGATTCACTTTTAGTCGGGCCCAATACCATTGGCAAGCACTCGCACCCTGACAGCAAACTCTCGTCTCGCACATAGAAAAGCCGAACTTGAGGAGTCAGCAAACTTTGAATAACGCGTCTATATCCTCAACACGCTGACTGATATTTGAAATTTCTTCAGATGCTAACTTCAAGCTTTTTTCCTTGTCTAGTGCTATTTTCGGGCTTCATATGCCAAGGTTATGAGCCTCGGTGTGTCATCGACTGAACTGGCTGCGCTGCTTTTCTTGTTGCCAGCCCCGCCTGCCCCACACATTTCGAACAGAATAATGCCCAAAGCCAGGGTTGAGCATCATTTCATCAGAGATAGAGAGCACAGAAAGCCAATCTTTGCATATGGATAACATTGCAAAAGCAGGGTAATTCTTTAATAAGCCCTTAATAATGACCCCGACATCTTATAGACCATTCGTGGTGGTTAGGACCATCGGGTAACATGTTTTTATCTGTGTCGGACTTCTCTCCAACAACAGCTATTTACTCGCCAAGCAAACAGGCAGCAATCACAGCTGTCGAGAGACAACAACTCGTTGACTATAATGACGTCCACTCTGGAACAGCTACCCAACGAGCTCTTGCTCGACATTACACAGCATCTCACACGTGCTGGTGTGGCATCCCTGGTTGCATGCAGCAGACATCTCCATCGAAGCCTGTTGAACGAGCTGTACAACGACGAACGGGAAAGAAGACACGCCATCGCCCACGCCTGCAAACATGGCAACGTGGACACCCTCCAACGGATTCGTACCTACCACAGGGAAGTCAATCCCGCCACTCCCTATTGGGATTATGTAGGTTCTCGGAGCGTGAACCCACTGTGCGTGGCAGTCAAGTTTCGGCAGCTGGGCACCTTTGAGTTCCTCCTCGCAGGCTACAACGACCAGGACGATAATGTGGAGAGTGATGCCGGCTCATTGCGCGTTCTGAGACTTTCCGATCTCATGTCGCAATCTGATCAGGTGCCCAGGATGATGGCACGTATATGTTC